GTTTGTATGATTCTCTCTTAACCTTGTTTTCAAGTGCTTCAGGTTCAGCAACCTTTTGATCCCTTGTGTAAATACAAAGACTGTACATAAATTGATGTATATAAATCTGAGAGGAAATCTATATGTAAAGTGCATATCTGGAGAATATATAATAATAATAATATATGTGCTGATATTTATCATGTGTAGAAAAATGTAATGATTCAAAATTTGATGTTATTTTTGGTCTCCGCACACAGTGAACAAGTTTACTGTAGACTCATAATGTTTCACTTGAACACCAGGTAACAACGATGCTGCAGCACAAATGCAGAATGTTTCCTTCTGCTAGACATCAATTGTAGTCTTTAATAATTCTGTCTCCTGAGCTTTGACTTCAAACATGCTAGGGCGCTAACGGGTTGCAAACCAACCAGCCTATATTTCCTTTGTTTCCTTATAGTCCTTAATTTGAACGATCCTGTATAAATGATGAGATCACTTTGAGCACTGTTGGACCTTTTGAATTATTCATATTGAGGATCAATGCAGTCCTATATTATTCTAGGAGAGACTACAGCGAGTCGAATAAATATCTGCTCGCACAATTAGAGAGGCAAAGTGTAAAAAATAATAATAAATCTGACACTTCTAAAGTGGATAACTGTGGTGTCATTTCTGGTGTTGTTATTCTCACCACAGACGATGAATCGAATGAATCAGAGGTTAACAAATTCAGTCGAATAACAGATGCTGCAGTGTCACTTTTTTTAAGTTCCATACAAAAAGCGTCTCGGGACAATAAAATGTGTCAATTAAAGTGCAATTACAGTGTTTACTGATCCACCTCAATCCAAAAAAAAAAAAGTGGTCAAAGTCACCCCTCCCCAAAAAACCTACAGAAAAACAAGCCATCCATTTTTATCGCAAAGACCTTTTCTTTAAGTTTATTTAACCTGTGAGGTTACGAGTGACAACATAAACTCTGGGTTCTCTCCAAAAGTGGTCTACAGTACAGTATGCATCAGTGTGTGTTCTAAATGGACTCTGTTTATGAAGATTTTGGTGATGTTGATTCTTATATTGATAGTCGTGGTGATTATGCTGTATGAAAACAATTGCAAGTGCCCTCACACTGGTTGTCATTTTGGAACTATAGACATGATTAATGTGTACTAGAGGTTTTATTTTCCTTGCTGGATCCATACATTTATACGAGGGGGTTCGGGGTCTCTCTCTCTCTCTCTCTCTCTCTCTCTCTCTCTCTCTCTCTACAGTATGTGTGCAGACTGAATGTGACTCACTCCGATTTCAACTGTAGGCTACCTGATTTTTTAATAATGTGCAGGGCAAATGAGCACTTGTGTTTGGATGAAGGTTAATTAGGGCCTGTCGGCATGTGTTGTTATCAGTGCAGGGCAGTGTTACTGTAATGCTTTTGTGCATCATATCTGGAACTTACAGTAAGCATGCATTCATATTCATTATAGATGTGATAATTCTGCTGCTGAAAGGAACAAAAAAAGCATCTGTAACCTCCCCTGAAACACAAGTCATGATTTTAATCTCATACCTAATTTCAGCCTGTTAATGAACTCACGTTGATTTTAAAGAGCATATTCATGGGAGCCACCTTTTTGCACCAAATGGTGCATTGTTACATAGTTTGATCAAGCTTTTTATGTACTGCATAGACCTACTTTTCCTATGTCACCTCACCGCCAATATTAGGGTCTGACTTAAAGCTCAATTTGTTTACATTTTGAGGGGTTGGGGGTTCTAAACGAGAGAAATAAAAAAAGGTAAATCTGAAAATGTGTCATGCATGCGCTTAGATAGTCTTTTTGATAATCCACGTTTTGTGTCAATCACTGTCTTTTTAGGGATTGTATGAGGGGTGAAACGCAAAGACGGACTAAAGAGAATGTGGATCAGGGTGAATGGTCCCCGGTGTGGTTTTGAGCAATACGGTAGAGGAGTAGATGTTGCCTGTGGATGTACTGCCTCCTTCTGCTTTCACTACTAGTGTACAAAACGAAACCTGCCGCTTGTCGAGCCCACCATGCCCCCCCCCCCCCCCCCCTCCCTCCCTCCCTCCTCTGCTTAGCATATCAAGTGGAACACAGTGTGTACTGTGAAGCCTACCTGCAATCCTTATCAGAATGTCAGAAATAAATATATATATTAAACTCTACATTTGTAATAATCTCACCTGGTTCATGTGGATTATTGTGTGTAACTTTTTTTCTGGGAAAGATATTTGAAATCAAAGGAATACTTGAGTTTTTTTTACTTTCTACTTTTCTACATTTTGAAAATAAATTTATTTGAATATCTGCTCCACAGCTACACCATTACATTATTACATTAAAGTTTAAGAATGGCTACTTTTTGAAACTATTATTGTGCATTTTATAAAAACATTAGAAGAAGATAACATACTGTACTTGATTAATCCCAGAAGGCACTTTTTTTCTTCTTTTTTTTCACTTTGTGATTGAACAAGCTCCACACACAGGCCAGGAATAAAAATACATGCACGTATACGATCCTGTGGACATGCAATGATGGAGAGATGTCAAAGTGAGGAGGCTGCAGACCTTGCTCAGGGGCAATACCAGGAAGTGAACTGGCACCTTCCCATAAACCAGTTTGGTCTCTACCTGGACTTGAACTGATCAGTCCCAAACCCACAGATAGAGCTACTGCCTCTTCATTTAGTAGGCTTGTGACCTCTTAGATCATTTATTTCTGGACTTGTTTAGGATGTCTTCACTTTGATTATTAGCAGTTCTACTAAAACAGTATGTCCCCCTCTAAACTTGTTCTTGCAGGAAATCATTTCAAACAGGTTTTAAATCCAAACTTGTAAAAGTACTGTATCTGGAGAAAAAAAAGATTAATAGGAAAACAAATGTGTGTATTTGTTTTTTTCTGTACCTTTTCCATTTATCCCATCAAAACTTTTGAGTGGACATCTTGATATGAGAAAGTAGTTGAATCTACGTCACATCAACAACTACAACAGTGAAAATGCAGCTCATATGTTGATTCATCAATACTGTAAACCAACAATATACATTATATGAGTGTATAATGTTAAATCATTCTACAGCAGAACCACCAGTACTTTTACTTTGATACTAAGTCAATTTTAAGATAAAACTTTTTAACTTTGAGGACTTACAAAATAGTTGTATAAATAGAGGAGACATGAGTGTCTGTATTTGAAAGTGAACAGTCAGAGTTTCTCTTCTACTTCTCCCAGTGGATGAATCCTGCCATGGCTATCTTACCGGTGGAAAAACACAACAAATTGCTTGTGTTATTTGATTTTTAGTTCTGACATTTTGCTTTGAAATTAGTGACTTGTACTAATTTTACAGTTACATAGTCCATTTTGATCAACCTACTGACAGTCAAGCCTCCATCAAGAATATGATTTAAAACATCTGATTCATCAAATAATACATGAATGAAAATTACAGTCATCCTCCTCCCACACTCAGGGAAACCAGGTATGACTTTAAAAAGCAGAAGCCTCTTAAAGTGTGTAACCTGTAGGACAGGCCGAGCAGGATGGATGAAGGCTTGACACAGGAGGAAACTGTAGGAGTGAACCCGTTTGTCCAGATGGTGGTGATACTGCGAATGCTCTGTCTGAAAACCAGCCTGGGTTGCATAATGCTGGTCCCCTCTTTTCTGTCTCAATCTGGACTCTTGAAGAGCCACGTGGTAACTTGATGCTACAGTCTGTCAGTGTATCTCCTTACAGCCATCAGCCAGACACAGCTCATCTCTGCTTCTTCAGAACGGCTGCATCAATTATTTCTCACTGACAGTTTTAAAGGTGGCTCTGTTTACACCGTCTTTACACCACACAGTCACGCGTTGTATAGGATGATACTGAGGGTCTAATACAATTATCTGCTCTTTGTTTAACTCTGTTTGGAAAGTTGTGTTTGTGAAGTTTTTAAATGGAAATTATGATCATTTCAATTTTAAAGCTCCAGTTAGGAAACAGACTTAGTTTAGATGCCTCTCTATGAGACACAAAAGCTCATTTAATTCTTGGCATAAATATTTCTGTATTGTTATTCCTAGAAACTGGGTAGGTGTCAAACAAAGTTATTTACATCACTCTGCAGAGACAGACTTTTTTAAACATTTTTCGACAGCAAAGATTATCATTGAACGATACATTCTACAAAGCAGGGGAGACTTTTGTTAAAAAGTACAGCTTACTGTAAAACTTCAAATAAAAGCCCAAACCAATTTACTGGAGCTTTGAATATAAATCTGATGTTGTGATGTGAGAAGGAGAGTCTGTCAACATGCCATCCCAACAGCTTGAACTGGATCTTTATTATCATACTTAGCTCACTGAAACTGAGCTCACGACCTGCTGCCAAAACAGTATAGCCTATGGGCAATAACAGACAGAGAGACCACTCAAGCTGTTTGTTCTTTAGTTGGACAGTTTTTGTCTTTAAAAGTTGCTTGGAAACTGGTATCTAACAACAGGGTAACACAACAATACATGAGATACTTTTACGTGCAGTGGGATTGAGCTGAATGGATTTATTGCATTTTTTTTCATTGACTTAAATTACAACTTAAATACAAAGTCTGCCCTTTTAATGTTTAAAATCCTTTAGAGACATTTTTGAAATTGTTCACAATTTTGGACATGTTTTCATCTGATAAAACAGGTCGAACATGTCACTGACAGGAATGCAAAACAGAAGAGTATGTCAGGCTTCTTCCACTGTTGCCTGGTGACGCTCATAAATGTCATAGGCATGTCTATTCACTTCCTGACTTTACCTTTAAATCAGATAAGGGAATACTAATGTAATCATACAGCCTGCCAGACAAGCGAGCCCAAATGTACTTTTTTATTTACTATTCTTTAAACTGCACCAAACATGTTTTGTACGTCAGGACAAACAAACTGCTCCAAACAAAGATGTTTTCCATAAATGTCAATGATTCCATTTTTAACACTTCATAATCCAAACATCCATATCACTGGGCTATGCCAACAAAATCCAGGGTAAGGTTGCTGCTACAAGTGCGAGTATAGTAAAGGCTGACAATAAAACAAACAGGCACCGTGCAGTTGTGCAAATCCTGCGTCTTCTCCTGCGCTGCTGCTGAACCACAGTCATTACAACGCTGTGCGCATCTTCCTCAATCATGGGTCGCCCTTGAGCGCTGATGATAAAGATCTGAGACGCTTTATGGCTGGGTCTGATCAGCCTTTGTCGACGGACTCGCTCAGACACCCACCTGAGGCAGGGTGCCACCCAGGTAAACCCCCTGGGCAAAGTGTTCTCGGAGGCGCGCCGTGCGCTCTGGAGCTGTCCAAGCGGCAGAGGGAGAGGTACCTTCAACGTCTGCCCTTCATCTGGATCCTTGTCCGGCGCGAGGGACAGCAGCGCTTCCTTCTGTTTCTTGATGAATGTGAGATGTCGGCATATAGGACAAGCAATTGTGTCTCTGATTTTTCCATCACTGTTGATGCTGACCAACGTTTTGACCAGACAGTCGTGGCAGAAAACATGCCCGCAGCTCAGAGTCCTCTCAGCACCCGACAGGCCCTCATAACACACTGGACACTCTTGTGCGTCTTCCTGGCTATCGTCCTGGTAAAATGCCATGGAAGGAAAAACAACCACTGTGGCACGAGAGTTGAGTAGATTCCGTGGTAAACGAATGTGCGAATTCCTTTCAAGGTCTTGTCCTCTCAGCTCATGACTCTCTCTTTACTTTACGCTTTGGGTGGAGGCGAGAGCTGCGCCTTGTAAAACAGGGCCTGCCACCTGGAGCTGCAGTGACTTGACTGATTGGGTCCCCTGGAGGTGTTATTGGCAGTTCAAGTTGCCCAACTGGTTCACGTTCTTTTTCCTTAAATTGTGTTATATGTCCTTATAGTTAATTCCATAACAATTATCCTACATTCTTTTAATTGATGATTTTATTTAAAAACTTTGTTTATCTACTGTAGTCATGGAATTTCTAGATTCAGGCTAGCATGTCTATTTGACTTTAAGGGTTGTACTGTATAGCCTTTTTGTGAAATAACTTAAGAAAAATTATTCTGTGACTTTCATTTTTTTTAAGTAGCAATTATATTTTATCTTAAAATTATTAAATGTACAGCGTAGGCCTTTTTTTTTTTCTTTTTTTTTTTTTAGGTTAGGCCTATTTATTGGATTTTGGTACAACTTCAAATAAGCCCCTAGGCAAAAGCCCTCCTTGTTTTGGTCGGTTTCCAGACTTACAAAGACATGGTGGCTCAATAACATTAGAAAATAAATTATAAATATATATATATACTTTAAATATAATTCAATATAATAAACTATTTATTGTGGATATTACGGTCGTATTATGTTGGTGTTCAGTGACCCACTGTCGTGGTTTATTGTGTAGCAATAATATGCCACCTTGTGGTCATTGTAGGGACAGCTGTATAGCCACATAACTATAGAATGACCGACCAAATAAAGAAGGTGCGGCTCATTCTACTACATCTGTTTCTGTAGCAGCCCTGCCCTTTTCTGACGCAAGCGTGCATGACGTCAGCGCGTACGTCTGAGTCAGGATTTACGTCTGTTCCGGGAGACGCGTTGGCAATTTCCTAAACACAGGTCTGTCACTTCAGTATCATCCGAGGCCGGGGCAGGGTAGAGGTGTGTGCGTGTTTGTTGGATGTAATACCGACTGGGAGAGGACTTGCTGATACAGAAGACACTGGAACATCGATTTGACATGAGCAGGTACCGAAATTAACAGTAAAAAATGCTTTGTGGTGGGTTTAGTGTTTGGTGTGTTAGCTACCGTGTTCAGCCTCGGTTTCTTTATATCACTGCTCGAGAGGTGTTTCGCTTCTATGTCTACTTTAAATGCCATTTACTCTCTCCTACCTCTCATACTCGGTATTCTCTGTTGTCGCTGTAGGCTATCACAAAACGGGTACAGCTAAGCTTCTCATTTACTGTCTGTCAAAGCCATAGACTGTAAATTTTAAGGTCAAACCTCGCAGTATCATATATCCAGACGTTTACAAGAGAAGAGGGGAGTCCTCATTTAGATGACAGCATGCCACTTCATGAATAGGACCACATACAGTAAATGTGAGCCTGCTCACTTGTAGGCCTCTTTAAAAATAATTTGCGTGAATTGGATAATGTTGTCTGTAAATGACCGATGATTGGCCGGACAATAATTGTAATAGCCTGTAAATTTAAACTAAATCGTGATGATAACTGTTTAACAGTGTCATTGCTTTTTGACCTATAGGATTTGGCTTTATTCCTGCTTTTTATTCGCAACCTATGATGGTTCAGGAGACCATATACCACCACACCTGATAAAGCTTTAGGTCTTAATGTTGTTAACATGACAGCAAATCCATGCAGCTACAAAAAAAGATAAGCATTTGGGAAACCCTCCTCATCCCTTCCAGTGGCCTCCATTTACAAATGTGACTAGGCTACATCAATGTCTACGCTTTAACTCTTAGTAAGCACCCGGTCATCTGCAAGAAAAGAGGAAGTAGAGAGGAGAGTGTGTGAACAGACTCTCTCTTTATTCCCCTCCCGTGTCTACTATTAAGAGAAAGATGAGTGCAGCGATATGACCACCTTAGGTCCTGTCAGTCTGGGTGTTGTTACAACAGACAAATAGATCCAGGGGTCAAACTGACACTGCCCCAAAGGATGCTGAAATTAGAGATAACAGGAACTGTCATAACCTGACCTGTTACGTGATTCAGGGGATTTGCATGTAGGGGTAGACTATGTCTATTTTACCAGTTTTCTTAAACATAGCTATGGCTTTTATTGAGGAAGTGATTATATGTGTAAGATTTTTCATCTGAATCACCATGGAAACAGTTTCCTGTCACCCATGCCTTTTGTAGACCCACATAGATCGATAGACATTCACAGGATCCCATTCAAGCCATTCAGCATCATACAGAAAGAGATCTGTTGTGTTTTTCTATAGTTCACCTGGATATTTAGAGTCTCTCCTTTGTCATTCAATACAACAAACATGTTATGTCACCAGCAGCTCAGGAACATTTTCCTTTCTCCACCCATTCTGTATTTGGGTCTCCAGTTTCCTTCGTGATTTTCAGAGTAGCACACTGACATGTGGTGGGTAAATTGTTGATGACGCTACCTCAAAGGAATGTTTGAAGGGAAGAGCAGGCGGTCCAGATTCTGAGTCCGAACCAGCTTCTTCTTGGAAAATACTATTTGCCCATAAGGCCAAACATTATGTTCAAAACATTTTGAAGGCTTTACTGACATATGCTAAGCTAATACTCCTTGACCTTCCCTCAAGCTGAGGGGTATCCTCCTGTGCTACATATTCTGGTTGTTTGACCTGTCTGCAGGAAATCCTGATAATCTCTGTGGGGATTATGAATATTCCTGGAGCCACAGCAAAGGGGAGTGTCGGTCGCAGTGGCTGTATCCCCTCCACCCACACAGAACACACACAGTTTGGCTCTTTCCAGATGTGCTTAATCATCTTCTGAAACCTGCCATGCTGGTCCCCATAGATCACAGAGTGACGCAGAGTTTATTAGCTGACCAGAAAAGAGGAACAAGCGTCTTGTAAAGTGTTAATACAGCAAACAGGAAGGAAGATGAAACACTCGCTCAAACACATGTTTACAATTGAGAACTATAGGCAAAAACCGGCAGCTTTGATGGGCTTGATGGTTTGCCAAATGTATTAAGACAGGGAGCTGTTAATGAAGTAGTTATGTGGATATCCCATCATTGAGCTGGAGGGATACAAACTGATTGTACAGGAAGCACTGGACACATAAAAAGATGTCATGATGACCACTCAGTCTTCTGACACATCGGTTCTTTAGTCAGTGTTTAATGAGTAACTACAGATCACATGACCTCAGCAGAATGACACAGTCGGACATTTTGGCATTGTTTGGACTTAAAAAAAAAAAAAAAAGAGATCTGTTCGATTATCTTCTTGGTAAAGAATGAGGGGAATGTGACATCGTGCATTCCCTGATTGTTTAGCTTTAAGATAACAAGGGAATGCACTGAACCTGATTGTACATGCCAGAGGATGCAAATAGTTTGTACCAAGTCATTTGCAGGTTTGTCCTACTTTCAACTATTTTAATTTTTGTATTGCAGGTATCTTATATCAAATGATTTGCATTAAAATGTCTTCAAGTGGGTCGCTGATTAACCTTGCAGTTAGGTTGCGCAACCCATATACAGAGGCTTTAGTTCTCCAAGTAGGGGATGGACTCGGACCCCCAGCCTCTTTCTTGCATGCCATTCCCCATCCCCGCTCTTGTACCAAAGTATTCCACCCTATCCAGGTCCTATCTGTGAGAATATAAGCAGACAAACTCCAAAGCCCCTAAATAAAGAAATACAAAAAATCCTATAATATCTAGAACTACTACATTCTTGAGTGTTGTCAATCTGTAATTTCATTCAAGGTCACAACTGTTGCTTTGGTCACCTGGTTCTGGAAAAAATTTACAAAACGCTAGCTGACAAGTCTCAGAGTGGCAAAGAATGTCAGCAACCAGTTTGAGTGATCTGAGTGATGTTAAGCTTTATCATTATAGTTACATTACAAAATAAAGGAGTTTATTTCAGGAAAACATATAAAGCATGAGCTTTTCTTTGAACAGTATTTCTGTCTGGGTTTTCGTTTGCAATGGTGGTTGTTTATGTTGATTAGACGCATGGGATCATGGGAGTTGTTGTGTTCATAATTGAATCATTTATTTATTTTTTGATTGAGAGCAACCTTTTCAGCTAACGGGCTAATAAATATGTCCCTCTGTAATCCTCAGGTTGCCCTGATATGGACAAAGAGATGATTCCCAAATTTTCAACAAAGGACGAGGAGGTTGACTACTGGAAGTCCCAAGCCCTCAAATATAAGAAAAGGTAAACCGTGTGATTTCTCTCTGCTGTGTTTAACATCTTGTCGTGATCAGTTATGACATACTGGATACATTTACCTGAACAAAACATGTTCTGCTGTTTGCTCAGCTTTCCAAACATGGAGAGACTACAACCGTTTGTTTACTAAACTTAGATTATGTAACAATATGTCAATTTGTATTTTGTGAACTGTCTTTCAAAAGATGTTGAACCAAATATGAGATGGCAGCACTCCTCATGATCAAAAAAAATAAGAAAATGCTTCAAACTTGAGTCAAGTGTAGGCAGACTTTGTTTGAAAAGCTGCACTCTCTCACTCTTATGTAAAAGGCAAATGCTAATTTGCTGAATGTGTGGTTATATCTGTAATCAGGACAAATTTAAATACACAATCATTTCCCTCCAGACTTTTTTTGTATTGGTCTCAGTCGTACGTTTCAGCACAGAAAGCCTGTGTTTAAGGAAGCCTTATAGGGTTAATGACCAGACAAGCTTTTTTAATCAGTGCCCACAAAGGTTGGGGTTTTTGCTCCAGAGGAAATGATTCAATCTTTGGCTCCTTCAGCAGAGACCGTGGCCTACTGTATGTTGTAATAGAAAGCAGTTGAGCATGTGTGTCTTTCTTTATATTTGTGGATTTGGGGGAACGTTACACTCTGTACAGAGAGGGTTAAAGTCCTGGTGGTTTTCTGAGAAATTCCTGCTGTGGGTACTAGGGGGAAAAACTTCCACCCATGGAAAAAACAACACCAAGTATTCAGTTCACCATGGCCTGTCTCACACATGTTTTTAAGATCTGTTTTCACAGGATCACTTCTACAGAGGCAGCATGCACCGTTGATTAGTTACCTTTTGAAAAGTTCTCTCCATGATGTAATATGTTCAAACTTTAGGTTGTGTTGACACTGGGCTACTTGGACATCACACAGTTTATGATTTTCAAAAAAAAGAACACACTTATTTACAAGAGGTTCACCAATTGTGAAAATTAGGGCTGATACTGATGTGTCGATTAACATTGTAGCCAATTACCGATTCTGATACTGATGTTTTTTTCATGTCTGTCATGTTTGACCATTTAAAAAAATTAGACTTTGTGTAACGGGTGATTTCTTCTGCCAAATAAAAAAAAAAAATTCTGTATCAGCAGTTTGGTATAGTAGCTAGATTGATACAAGCTTAAATCGATGCGACACAGCAGATTCACATCGGCTACACACATTGCTGCATCCCACATCATATGTTGATGTTTGCCAACGGGGCAGATATCAGCCTGAAGCAAAGTTCAAACAATACATCGATGCATCCATAAAATCCATGTGCATTCACACATTTGCTGTAAATTTTCACACACTGGGTGTTATTCATTGTAGTTCTACATCCCACATACAGAATACTGTTGGTTGTTTAAACCATGAAAAAGTATGAACGAAGTATGGACTGTCAAACAGGGAAATTATAGGGCCTAGCAGTGTGCTGATGAAGCAGCCGCTGTGGTGTTGGTATGTATGGAACGACCCCGAGACAACAACTGATTCATGGATTCCACAGTCACTATGAGGCCATTATCCCAGTGCGAGTCAGCTGATCTCAGAACAGGGTTCACCACAGTGTCATCGTGAGTGTGAAAACTCTTGACAGGCAAGAAAAAGATTAACTTCAGTTTGGTTGAAACAGATTACCTCCAAGTATTTCCTCTTCATATTCCACATTTAAACGTTAACCTGTACTACATTATGAGTTATTGTGTGTTTTTGGATTTCATTCATGGGGATGGCCCTGACCAGCTCACAAACACACATCCTGTTTTCTGCCCAGTGTCCTCATCCTGTTTCTGAACCCTCTCCTTGCACCTTTGACCTTTAGCCTCTCCCACAGCTGAGGAAGCCACTATGGCAGCAGGGCTGTTTTTACTACTGAGCTACTTCTTAACCCCCTACTGTCACAGTACAGCTGTCTCTTTAGAGCTGTATATTTAGAGTGTTTAACCCGACAATGCTGAGCGTGCACTGTTTCCTGTTTGGAAGAGGCAGGAATGAAGGTTAAAAATGTCCAAATATCTGACAGACTTTTTATGCAGGTTTATTTCTGGCCATTGGAGATAGAGCTGCTGGAACATACCACCTGAACCCGGCTCATCTTACAGGACAAAAGCCAGTGGGTTTTCTAGAGCTCATGCCCATGAGGGGTCATTCAGCCAGGCAGCTTTACACAATTGAATGGCCGACAGTGAACAGGCTGGATGGTAAATGGCAGTAATTGTTAATGTGTCTTTTTTTGTGTACCATGCAGTTGCCATGATGCCCAAGAGGAGCTGCAGGAGTTTCAGGAGGGGAGCCGAGAACTGGAGGCAGAGTTGGAAGCACAGCTTGGCCAGACTGAACACCGCCTTCGAGACCTTCAAAGTGAAAACGAGAGACTGAAGATCGAGGTGTCAAACCTCAAGGTACCTGATGACCTGTGTAGCTTGTTTTTGATTGAGCTCACTTTTATGGTCACAACAATAAACTCATTTGCAAGTTACTTAAGAGGTTATTGGATTTATGTTGGATCCTGAGTGACAAGGTTCAATGTGTTACTTGCATGTTGGTCTCAATAAAGTACGCTTTTATGTAATCCTGCATCACTCCTTAAATGGCTGTCAGGATTAAGAGCAAGAGAAAAGAAAACTACTAGGACAGGTCTGGTCTTTAATCCCTATAAGCATGGATGGTACTCAGGTGATCAAATTCCTATGTTTACATGCTGCATAATTACTTCAGCCTCTCTACACAAAGCACAAAAGTATTGTGAATGAACTCCTGGGCAAACATGTTAGAGTGCTAAATATGATCTGTGTGTGTAACGAACCGGAGAAATCATGAATCATGCATTGTGCCACTGCGGCCACAGCACAGACACGCAGGCCTGCAACAGATTGCACTGTGAGTGAGTGAACAGAGTGGCTATTTGAAAGTGAAATAATGTGATAGAACATCTTTATGTCCTGTCTTATGATTCACCAGGTAATAAAAACAACAATAGGGAAACTCAAGACTATTGTAAAGTGTATGAAATGGTACTTCAAAACAACATGACTCAGCAAAAAGATCTTCAACGTGGAAGGTCCATTTGATGTCCTTGTTTTTCTTTTTCTACACACATGCACTCACTCTAATGCTCTTTATTCTTCTTCCCTTGTTTTCCCTCTCTATCAGGAGAAGCTGGAGCACCATTATTCCCAGAGTTATAAGCAGATTTCTATGCTGGAGGATGACCTAGGCCAGACGCGCAGCATCAAGGAGCAGCTTCACAAATATGTCCGAGAGCTTGAGCAGGCCAATGACGACCTGGAGAGAGCCAAAAGGTCAGACAGTCCGGACTGTCTCATTACTCTGCATTTTCACTTTACTCGTTAAGATTTACTCGTTTTTTTTAAATTGAGGAAGTGAAGTAAACAAGCCACATCAAGGCTTTACGAGGGGAGGTGTTTAATGCTTTAACTTTTTCTACTGTAACATCCATAAAATGTTTGACAGTCATGTTGGTCACCCTCTATATACAGGGCGACAATAGTGTCTCTCGAGGACTTTGAGGGACGTTTAAACCAGGCCATTGAGAGAAATGCCTTCCTGGAGAGTGAGCTGGATGAGAAGGAGTCTCTCCTGGTGTCCGTGCAGCGGCTGAAAGACGAAGCAAGAGGTAAAGGCGATGCACAGAAGAATGAATTCTGCCCTTTTGGAGTCATTATGCCACCTGTTTAAGGATTAATGGAGGATCATTCAGTGAATTGAACTCTTTTCTTCTGCAGACCTGCGACAGGAACTGGCAGTACGGGAGCGGACTACAGACAGGATGTCAGCACCCAGCTCACCTACTTTAGACATCGACCAGATTGATTCTGCAGTACAGGCTTCTTTATCTCTCCCAGCTACACCTGTAGGAAAGAACATAGAGCAGTCTTTTATCACCTCAAAAGGTCAGGACTAACTAATCTTACTCCTTGTTTTTTTTGTACGTGTGAAATGGAAAGTTCCCTTAAATATAAACTGTATATTGTTTTGTGTGCTTTGTGCAGCGTTGACCAATGGCTGTGGCAACTCATCCCTCACTCCGTCTGCTCGAATCTCAGCTCTTAATATTGTTGGGGATCTCCTGAGGAAAGTTGGGGTAGGTATCATTCCCATCATATATGGTGTTGTGTAAGTTCTCTGTTTGCATGATCGGGCTGAGATAGAAATCTGTGCTCCATACTTATAAATAGGTTGCAGAGCACAGAAGAACAGTGTGTCCTCAGCCACAGGACAAACAGAGAGATGTTTCTGATGAGGCGAAATACAAATTGTGTTTTTTTTGTTGTTGTTTTTTCTAGGCGTTGGAGTCGAAGCTCGCTGCCTGTAGAAACTTTGCCAAAGACCAGGCTGCGAGGAAAAATTACTCGAAAGACAACAGCACACTCATCAACAGCAACGCCACCAAGTTCTCTCACTCTCTACATACGACCTACTTCGACAAGACGTGAGCGTTTTGACTCCTTCACTTAGTACTCGTCTCAATTACATGATAATTATTGCATTAAAGCCGTTTTTTTCTTCATATTTTCTAATATTGTACACCTCCTTCTGGCAACTGCAGGACTGTTAACGGATTGGACCCCAGCTCTTTGACCTCCATGGCAGCAACCAGAGCCGTGCCCCCGCCAGGCATGCTGCCTCTGAGTGTGTGAGGCTGTCCCCTAACCACATTAACCTCCACCAAATACAACGTGGGAACAGAGAGGACACTTGAAAGACCATTACATTGTGTGTGTATGTGAGTGTGTGTGTGTGTGTGTGTGTGTGTGAGAGAGAAAGTAAGAAAGTGTTTGAAAGGAAGACGTGTGTGTGTGTGTGTGTGTGTTTTGCCTGGTTGGGATTGTGCATTTTTCTGAACGTGATGTGTGAAAGAGAGGTTTGACTTTACCATGACCTTGCCTCCAGGTTGCAGCTCTAAATGCATCTGTGAGTAGGTGCACAGACGTGTGTGTGCACATATGTTCCTACCACATGCTTGCATGTGCCTAAAGCTGTACTGTACTGTGCTTGTATGAATGTCACTGCAAATGCGATGCTCTCTAGATGTCAACTCTGAATTGGCTCCTTTATATTCTTAGTTCCACTGTTCATCTGAAAAACTTCTCTCCTGACAAAAGGTCTGTTACTGACCACAGCTTCCGTATCAACCTTCCTTTCCTCCTCTGTTTTCTCTTAAATTGCACAGCTAAGCTTAATTCAATTCAGAATGTATTATATTTAAAAAGGGATGTGTGTTAACTAATTTATCTTTCACAGTTTGCTTTAAAATGCAATATTTCTATTTGCTCTTTTTCTTGCATGTTTGCATATGTAATGTGGGGTTGGGGAGGTCGAGTGGGACCCCATATTCTTGACTGAAGTGAATGTTGATCGTTCAAAGCCATGTAGCCATAGTGCAGTTGCTCCTTTTGTTACTGGCTACTTGCTTACATTATTTTTTTTTTGAAGTAGCCTCTTTGTTTAAGCTTAGAAATATCAGCTGGTTCTGTCCTCTGGGTTAAACCTGCACTTAAACTAACTGATCCCACAGGTGGGATGTGGACATCTGTTGACTTTTTGAGGGAACGGTTTTGCCTTTTTTTTTTATTGTTTAATGTATACTTTTTTTTATCTTGTGGCTGGCTCATTTACCTCATTCTGATGTTGTTAAAGTTAGCTGTAGTGCATTTTTATTTTATTTAACCAGGTTGGTCCCATTGAGATCAATAACCTCTTTTTCCAAGGGAGACCTTTTAATATTAGCAGGTCAATTTGGATACTCAAGCAGAAGTAAACTGACTCCAGGTTCCTTTTTATAGGAAGATCTTTCCACTTTGGCAATTGTACACAAGTACATGGTCAACTGTGGCCTCTATATCAAACAGCACATTGGCTTACCATCTGTGGTGTGTGTTTTCACTTGACTATTTGTTTAAACAGGTTGGATATAGAAAATGCATTCACTCAACATCAGATAATTTGATTGTCAATTGAAGTCAATATTACCCTCCAAAATGCCCCTTCTCATAGATCTGTGTGTCACTATCTTGAAGCATAAATTGAATCATTTTAGTTTTCCTGTTAATCTGATAATATAAGATGTCATTTTTGGGCACTTGATAAGCCTGTTACTAAGGCTTGTTTTACAACAAGTGTACATAGCTTGTAAGGATGGTCATTTGTACATAGTGAAATTTGGAATTGAGGTCCTATTTATTTCAGATTCTGTATGGCATGTTCAGACAATTACATGGTTTAAGCCATTGTATTATAGTATTCAAATGTTTGTCAAAGTTGTTTAAGTAAATAAAGATTGAGATTACAAATGTGTTGAGGAGTTTGGGTCATACATTGTAATGAGAACATTGTAGTTTTTCAGTCACTTGTGGCCTCATTGGGGAATGGAGTTTCTCTTTATTGTGCAATGTCAAGACTGCCAAAATTTAAAATGTAAGTTAATTGGAAAACTAAGATTGTTTTCTTTGTTTAGATTGTGTCAGTAATAAACCACCAACCATGATGTAAAATCTGCTTTAATATAAACATTAAAAGATTCAAAGTTATAAGGTCAGAATGTAAGTTACAAACATGACAGTCCAACAGTTTTTTAAATATTTCATTTCATGGTCTAAAGGAAAGTATTCAGTCTGTATGGGTTTACATTACAGCTCTGCAAGTCCACCACGTTCAACCAAATTAAAGGCCTAGTTTCTTCTCCATTTTCTCCTTCAATACATTCTTCTTGATCTGGAATAACAGAAAGTCGCAGCTGTTTTATTTTGTTTTAAACATCCATAATACCATCACAATAGTATTGTACCTTTCCAGAGGCTGTCAGAGGGTAGCTGTCCACAAAGAAAACGTAGTGTGGGATCTTGAAGTGAGCGATCTAAGGGGGAGAAAACAAACGCACGGGGTTAAAAAAAAACCAAAAAAAAACTGTACAGCCTTCATCTGAGTGTTGGGCTTTTGGCAGTTTTGTTCATCATCTCTTACTTGGCCTTTGCAGAATGCTCTTATCTCCTCTGCAGTGGAAGTATGGCCCTCCTTCAGTCTGATGCAGGCACACACCTGCTCGCCTAGCCTTTCGTCTTTCACTCCAACCACCTGCAAAACAGACAGACAAGCAGAACAACCGCACACAACTCCGCTTTACTGCCCTGGAAAGAACACCTACAATTTTGAGAGACAAAAAAAAAGGATGACTTTGCTGAAAATACAAAGTCTGCAATGGCTTATATTTTTGCTGCCCTCCAGTGGTTTTCAGTCTCACCTGCACCTCCATTACTTTTGGATGAGTGAAAAGAAATTGTTCTATTTCAGCTGGGTAGATGTTCTCCCCTCCTCGGATGATCAGATCCTTCATACGGCCTTCGATGCGGCAGTACCCAAGACTGTTCAGACTGGCTGTGTCACTGTGTGGTAGAAAATCAAACATAATATGCATACCCTAAACCCCACTTTTATATCTGTTCACATGTGCATTTTCTGATAAAAACAGTAAACTGTGTTATGCAGAACATTTCTCAATTCTGTTGCTTTTTTGTGTCCAATAAATGACCCCCTCTTCTTCTGCATCCCTTGTGGCCCAACATATGTCAACATTTATTGCATGCCAATTCAGACCAAATGGTGGGCTTGTATATGTAAGTAATTGATTTCAAGTAATTCAAAAAGCTAGCGATACACATGAGGAAAAGTTAGACTTACAATCATATTGAAAAAATAGATTTAGATATGTGACATTACTAGCTAGAAACGTTGTAGTTGTGGAGGTTACTAAGCAACAGAAATGTTGCTTAGTAATGATTGGGTAAGGGCGGGAACAGTTGGTGATGCAAACAGGAAATTCTCAGTAGATTGGATGGGATTTCAGGTTAGCCTGCGGTCTATGCAGGCTACAAAGGCTGGGTCCTTGGTAGGATGCATCCTTTGAAGGATTCTATTTTAAATTGGGACCCAGTTTAAATGTTTAAGTTGTTAAATTCAGAATCAGAGGACAAAGAAGAAGCCCTGCCATCTCAGTATTATTTACTGCAACTGGTTTCTGGATGGTATGTCAAAAGATTTTTTGCTATCCATATGATTGTTAGCAGTTAGCATACACTCTAATTCGAGATGCGGCTATCCATCTCAAAACTATCACTACAATGCTTAACGATGGCTATGTAGTGTTAGCTAGTGCTGGATTTACAGAACACAACTTCCTCAGCCAGTGATTTGGTAGGCCAACCAAAGATGATCAATGGCCCACAATAAACTAGACAACCGTGTTAGATTCTCAAAATCTACGCTAGATATAAATAGCAAATATGTGGCTATTCAGGCTAATTGGTTCCTTAAGTTACCAGCATAATTTAAAAATAAATAACTACCAATACAAACCTCATCAGATACATCAAATCAGAAAAATAAAATAAAAGACAAACTCAATGAACTTGTACCTAAAGTAATTTCTGATACTTTTGATTTTAATGGCAGGCGTAGCTTACTAGTTTTGATTTGACCTTTATTTACAAAGCCAGTAGTCTAAAGGGTTTGTGATATAGTTTCTTACCCAGTCCTGTACCAGCGAGCTTGGCAGATGGCGTCACTGGTTTTCTGGGGCTCATCCCAGTATCCCAACATCACACAGCTGCCTCTGACCAGCAGCTCTCCTGAGGCCCCCACAGGGACTATTTCCCCGGTATTTGGGTCCACCACTTTAGCCTACAGCAAAGACATTTAGGCAGAAGTATCAGTGTCGTTAAAGTTATGTGTTGATTAAGGATTGTGCAAATTCGACAAACCTCTGTGTGGCTCATTATGCATCCAACAGTATCTGTCTTCAGCTCGTCATTGTCATGTGGGAATCCCAGAAATGTAATCGGGCTATTCTCAGTGGTTCCATATCCTATCTATTAAAAATGATGTACAAAAGGTCCTTAGAAGCTGATGAGTCTCTATTAGTGTAAGAATTGTACAGTTTTACTTAAAAAGGTATAGGAAACATAGCTACCTGCTTACCGTTATCTCTTTCATGTTCATGTCTGCTCTCAGTTTTCTCACAACCTCAGAAGGGCATGGAGAACCTGCCATAATTCCTACAACACAAGAACATGTAGATAATGGTATCTTAAAATCACACCGAGAGTAGTTCAAAACGTTCTCTTCTTCAAATCTCTTACCAGCTTCAACTGACGACATATCATACTTATGTATAACTTGTTGGCTCAGCATGTCAGTGAACATTGTAGGAGTACCATAGACGAAATTGCACCTTGAGTGGAAAAAAAATGGAACTGAAATAGATTAGAGTGTAAAATGATGTCTTTGAAAATCTTTTGTCTAAAGAGATGAGTGACATACTTTTCGCTCTGTATGGCAGCCAGGTTGGCTTGACTGTTGTACCCAGCTGAAGGAAAGACCAGAGTGACACCATGCACCGCCATACACATCCCTCCCAACACAGAGCCGAAGCAATGGTACATGGGTACAGGCACACATACTCGTACCTGAGGCTGATGGACAGATGGAAAATAATAAGATTACTACCTTTCAATGTTTGCGTAGGCGTAAAATCAAATGATAAAAATGGACTTACTCTCCATCCATAACCCACTCTGAGGCCGATAAAGTAGGCATTGTTGACAATATTGTGGTGGGAAAGAGCTGCTCCTTTTGGACTGCCAGTAGTCCCCTGGAAATAAACACCACTTCTTAATTATTGTTACATTATACTGACACAATCCAAGTGAGAGAACAAGTGTGTCAGTGCAAAAGGTGAAGCTTACCGATGTGAACTGAATGTTGATGGGGTCATCGAAGGACAGCTTGCTCTGCAGATCCATAAGCTCGCTGTGGTGCCGACTTTCCCCCGCTTGCATGACGTCCTCTACGTGGAGCATCCCTGGCTGTCTGCTGTCTGTCACAATCACCATACGCAAGTCTGGAACCCTGGCAGACCCAAGACAACAACCAAATAAACTACCACCCTCCTAATGTTTGGGGTGCCGTATGTTTATTTGGAGGGTTCCAAAAAATATGCATGGACCGATTATCATGAAGCTTGGTGGAAGGGTTTACAATGGACCAAAGAACCAATCAAATCTGGACGAAACAAATGTTTAAATGACGGCAGCTCTGTTAATAGCAGATCTAAACAAATATAGACTTTTAAGTATTGCATTGAAATTCCATTTTCTTTAAACTTGATAGAAGGATTGTACTGGACATTTCTGGACTGGATGTGGATCTGACTCACAAACAAGCAATTAATAATGGATCTGTCTAATATATCCACACATTGTGTTTGCAGGCTACAGATTTACATCTATTAGGAGATTTGACTATTGGCCTCAGCCAAGAATCACACTCTCTGCGTGCCTTTCCGATAATGGATTGTGTAATGTACACAGTCTTTTTCTACCAATGAATCAAGAAAGCATACTTTAAATCTGATATTTGATATTATTTCTGTCATACCTGGAGCTTTTGATCATGCTTGCTGGCATATTGTCGATTTCGGGGCAGAGCTCCCTCAGCATCTCACAGAAGTTTTGTGTTTTAAAGTGAGAAGGGCAGACCACAGCTTTACACTGGACCTGTGAAGAACATTCACTTCTGTCAAAATTATGCGCTCACACAAATGTGTGTAGGGATTGTTTTGTGATAAAAACTATTTTCAGTTGTATGTAGATAAAGGTATAGGTAAATAGAGTTTTATAAGTGGCTGATTTCCTGCAAAAGTCATACCTTCTTTAGTGTGAACTCCACTTCCTTCACCTGATAGGCTGGATTCAGGGAAACCTGCACATATAACAGTTTGAAGACAACAGTTAATCCAACACAGGTTATATTCAGTATTTCTGTATACCATATCACATTGTACAGTATACCTTAACACAGATGACCTAGTTAGCATCCATCAACATATACATCATATCTCCACAGGGCCCCTGAAAGGGTTCAATGTGCAGCTAACTGACCCTCGACAGCAGAGTATTTGGTAACACAGGACAGAGGCTTATGTCATCTACTGAAGTCCAGCTCAAGAACTGTCGGTCAAATCACAAGGCTACATTGTAAATGCAATAGTTTAAACTGACCAGTATAATTCCAGCTTTCGCTGTAGCAAACTGGAACACAATCCACTCATATGAGTTGGGTCCCCAAATTCCCAGTCGGTCACCTTTCGTCATGCCCAGAGCAAGCAGACCTGCAGCCATCGTGTCTACCTGCAACAATAAATGTCACAATTGGCTCTCGCTAATTAAATCAGTGGGTTTATCATTCAAAAAGGAAAATACATTGGAATCAAGTTAATAGTTGCATAGGGATTATTATGCAGTAAGGCTAAAAACACAAAGACTTGGGCTCACATCTTGCTGAAACTGATAAAAGGTTTTCCGTATGCCATCCTGCAGGAAGACCACAGCTTCACGATCGGGCCAGCGTTGGACCGCCCAATCCAGACCCTGGCTTACAGTTAGGGAGAGTAGTGAGGCAGAGGAGGTACCATGGACATAGCTGGTGGTCATAGAGGGTATGTGAGGAGGACTGTCCACATGGAGAGACCTGGGATAGAAAACAAGATTCAGGAAAAAGTTCATTGGTCAAGCAAATTAATGGACTAGACTTTGATTTAGGTAACTCATTATATTACGATTATAATGGGAATGTGCCCTTATAATGAACTATTCCACTGTTTTACAGAATACATAAGGTATTTTTAACAGACAACCTTGTTTTAGGATAGGATAGGATAGTACTTTATTGATCCCCAGAGGGGAAATTCGGGCGTTGCAGCAGAAAAGACAAGTAAGCTCAAAATACAAAATACACATTAAACAGAATAGATTAGATAGCTTAATGAATAAGAGATAGAAAACCTACACTATGGCATAAATTAAGACTCAGTGTCGGTCTTAACATCCGCTAAAAATCCAAGCATGAGGTGACTAATGCCAACCTAAAATGCCAGTACACTGTTAAACGAAACAGTCAAATGGCAAACTTCGAGCTCAGGCCACTGACTAACAATATAAAATGGGGAATGTGGGTGATCTCCAAGTATGTCCCTTACCTTGAGTGGGCAACGTCAGTGGACATATAAAACCAGTGAATATCCCTTTTGGTGGTTCCAGGCCATTACCTGGATGATCAGTGACGACCAAAAATGACGAGGGGTCAGGCCAACTTGTGTACATTTACTGATGAATCAAGTAAGTCAAGATACTTAAATAGGCCATTACTTGACTTCCAACAGAATCTGTTGGTAAATGACACAGAGAAAACCTCTGGACTTCCACTGAGAAACATTGTAATAGGAGAATGTTTGTCTTACTGGTCAGTTTATGGCCCGCAATGGAAAGTACAAGATTGTTAAAGTTGTTGACAAAATATGTTTCCCTATGGCAAACTCTGGAAACTTATTGATGAATAGGGTTAGTTGAGAATAGAGGTTCCAACTGGCTGTTATGGGGCATCAAGTGAAGACCAGGATCAAATGTTCTCCCACTGGCTCCGCCTTCTCTGTCCTCCTTTGAACAACCCTCTTAAGGGAACGGAGACCCTACAGCAGGGTGCAGGTGACAGGGTTACTGGATGAGTTCTAGCCAAAACAGGCTTCTCTGTTTGGGTTGTGGTGGACATGTATGTAACTTATTTGCAGGGCATAAGCATTGGAATAGGGGTGAAACGTATGGGGTGTCCTCTCAGAGTACTTAGCTTTTCATTAGTGGGAAAGGATCTTCCGTTTGTTTTATATTGAATGCCTAATGATGAACAGAATTAATCATAAATAAATGTTCAGATATGTTATGAACTGGGTGTGCACCGTGGCATCAGAATCAGTTAGTTAATGACATGGACATTAGATGTTTGGCCAGTCCTCCCTCTGTTATCTTCTGCAGGATTAGACAAGAAAAGACGTTCAGCAGGCTTCCATCTGGACACCTTGTTCTGACAAGGAGTCGATAAATAACATTGTGAAAATATTCTACAAGGCCATCTTCTGCACCTCTACTTACCACAAGAATTAATACATAACTTGCATTCAAACCCAATTGACAGCAACTAAGCAACTATCTTGGGGTCCGACCTGCTCTTAATATTGACATTGGCTCCACTTTGACTTGATTTGGCTTCACAAACTTTGCAATTGACACTGAATGGAACAAGTCAATAATTAACATTTAATTTATTCAGTCATCTGCTTTTTCAATCAATTTGAATCAAAGTCAACCATAAGACTGTTATTAATCTTTGTTAGGTGGGGGTTGTTTCTGTAGTAAATGTTCAATGATGAAATCATGACACAGACTGTGGATCGTCTTAGGATTTATAAAGTGCGGACCATCGCTGACCCATGCTGACAAATATTCTGACAATCGCTGGCAAAGTATTCATCCACACAGTGTTGCTAATATTCTGCTAGAAGGTCCAGCCTACCAATTCCTTTGCATCTGACTTCCCGTTTGACTTCCAATAGGCTAGAAAGAAGACATTAGCTTGACTCGTAAATGTCAGACATATACATTTCTTCAGTCTCAGAGTCACATTTCCTTTTCAGCTCACAACATACACATTGGCTCCAATCCAAATATAACTCTGCTGCTATGAGGCCTCTTACACATACAGTATGTATTACAGCTTCACAAACCTAAAAGAAGAATTACTCTGAGATGTTTGACACAATTCAAAGATATATCCACAAAATTATCAAGATGAATAAATTCATGAAAATATGTAGCCTACTAACAATCATCAAAGGTAAAGTGAAGTCTGGTCTAAGGTCAAGGCAGGTCCCAAGTCATGTGACTCCTTAAACTGGAAGCTGTTGTTCACCATTCTTGTAAATCAATGTATGAATAGGATACAAGATCAGAATAATCCAGCTCACACTTAAAGGTTGACTTAAAGTTGAATGCATGATTAAACATTGGAGTAAATGAGTTTCACATTCTGGCTTCCTCAGGTTTGCTCTGCGCTCCATTACTCTGATCTTGAAGGCTATTTGTTCCTTCTCTAGCTGCACCCTCCTGGATGAGTAGCACAGCTGTGCACAGGGCACCGAGCGATCTTTAAAGTATGTAGCCTACATGAAGAACAGGGAATACAGTTTTAGATGTTCTTTTGTTTTTTTCAGGTTATTTAACATAACTGTAGGATAACTTTTTTTCTCAATCACTGACCACATGGACATTAGACATACCACAGAGATCTGTTTCACCAACTTAAAAAAATGAGTTATTTTACCTATTACATCCACTGCAGACTTTAAAGAAAAATCCTACACTTTGTCTGGTACACTATGTTCCTATTTCAAACCCTAAAAAAGAACCACATGTACTAACCTGCACCAGCGGAGTAAACTTGAGCTCCATAGTTTCAAAGTCTTGCTTTGTTTAAATGCATCGACAGATCCGAGGCTGAGAGCGCAGGACCTTAGCAGTGAGGAAGATTTCAAGGCTGTCATTTTCCTCAAGTCTTACAGAGTCAGTCTGTTCCAGAAATACAGAGATTGGTGTGTATTTTTCTGACTGGTTGAAAGTGGCTCTTGGTCCCGCCTGCCTACACATGCCTTCACTTCAGTTGGAGTTTATCACTGGAGGGGTAATGTTTAACCACAGCTCTTCCTTATTGGCTAAGAGGTCAGAGTATCTTTGCTATTTGGCCTTTTCAAGCACATGTCAAGAAAATATTAACTAGAAATAACCATTAATATTTAACCAAGACTGACAAGGACAAATTGTAGGATTGTATATAATTAAAACACATTTGAAGTGGCAGTGTTAAAAAAAAAACACGAATGCATTGCATCAGGTCTTCATCAGGGTCAACAGTGGCTAGTACACCTATGTTGTATTGTACTAATTACTTGCAGGAAAGAATCATTCTCCTTGCATGTGCAAGCTTGAAAAACAAAGAAGTGATTCTTCATCAGTGGGAGGGGAGGACGAGGTAGGGGTAAGAGGAGGGGAGAGGAAAGGCACATTGTAATAAAAGCTTGCTTGATAGGCCATACTTAGGATTTTGATTTACAAATGTCCAAATATTTATTCAACCTTTGACACAAGGCACTCTATGCCTTTTAAAGCATGTACTGTCAGTGCAGTGTTTCTTTAAGGACCAGTGTGCTGGATTTAGTGACATCTAGCTGTGAGGTTCCAGATTGTGGATAGCCAATAACGTCTCCTCTGATCTTTTCTTCAAAGCATGTAGGAACACCTGCAGGGGTGTACAGTATATTCCATTGTGAATAGATCCCTCAACCTTGCAGACAGTTTCTTTGTAAAATGTTTATTTCAGATCTGTACAGTTTCAAATATATAACCATAACAAAATGCCTGTCTTTTCACAAATGCAATCCTCTAGAAAATTTCTCAGAAAATCTTCCTGAGTTGTCAACATTTGCGACTCACAGCTGGAGACATCCCCTGTTGGATGGGAGTTTGGGGGGTGTTGCAGGAAGCAAACTGTGAAATAAAAGCTTCTCAGACTTTACTAGTGAATTGGAGTTAGCTTGTCACTGTGTCATTATATGAACATGTTCAGTATCACAGTCCATACTCAGGTAATTTATAGAATCATGAGAAAGAAAGCATAACATCCCTCTGTTAGGTTTCTGCATTTCAAAACATGTGCTCTTGGACCCATGATGGTCCTTGAAGTTAGAGGCCTAATTTCTTCTCCATTTCCTCCCTTAATATGTTCTTCTTGATCTAGAAAAAAAGACAGTATTATATCAGGTTATATCAGCTGTTTACATTATTTGCAGAATTTCAGAAAACTGTAAATAAATAAAAAAATATGAAACTGTCAAAGTATATCTCTGAAACTCTCCAAAAAATAGAAATTGACAATACGGCAAATTACAATGATCCAAACCAACCCATGATGTGTGATTCTAATAGATTTAAAATAATGATTATAAAAGTCAAGAAAAAACAAAATTCAGGTAGGAAGATGGTAAATGGACTTGAGCTTATATAGCGCTTTTCTAGTCTTCCAACTACTCAAAGTGCTTTTACACCACATGTCACACTACACATTGACACCCATTCACACACTGATGGTAGTGATGATCACTATGTAGTATCATCCATCAGAAGTAAATAATCCCACCCATACACCACCACCAAAGCAGCAGGAGCAATTTGGGGTTAAGTGTCTCGCCCAAGGACACATTGGACATTTGGCCAGCTGGGGATTGAACCCTTGACCTTCTAGTTGAGAAGTAACAACTCTACCAATTGAGCCACTGCTGCCAGGAAGAACAGGGATTCATTCAGGGAAAATATATGTTTTGGGAAATCAGTTAGGCCAAATGCGGAGACAAATATGTGAATCAGAGGGGATAAAAGTAAGTTGTTTTAATGAACTGACTATAAGTCAGTGTAAGAACAGAAGAATTATACCTTTCCAGAGGCTGTCAGAGGGTAGCTGTCCACAAAGAAAACATAGTGTGGGATCTTGAAGTCAGCAATCTAGTTGGGGGAGTGGGAAACAAACATCAGTACAACAACTGTACAGCCGTCTCTGCTCTAAGTGTCAAATTTTGGATCTTTTATTCATCACGTCTCACCTGGTCTTTGCAGAATGCTCTTATCTCCTCTGCACTTGAAGTCTGGCCCTCCTTCAGTCTGATGCAGGCACACACCTGCTCGCCCAGCCGCTCATCTTTCACTCCAACCACCTGCAAAATAGAGAAATTAAAGAAATAATGAAATTAAAGAGCTCAGCTTTTATTAACAATCAAATTAAGGAAGGTCTTCATAAGAGAAAAAAGATTTTTGCTGCCCTTTAGTGGTTTTTAGTCTCACCTGCACCTCTGTTACTTTAGGATGTGTAAACAGAAACTGTTCTATTTCAGCTGGGTAGATGTTCTCCCCTCCTCGGATGATCAGATCCTTCATACGGCCTTCGATGCGGCAGTACCCAAGACTGTTCAGACTGGCTGTGTCACTGTGTGGTAGAAAATCACACATGTAAGACATATTTATTATTTCCCCATGTGCCCATCAAAACATTTGAATATGTTTTCTAACACATGCAGAATACATTGTGCATACAGTTTCTTACCCAGTCCTGTACCAGCGAGCTTGGCAGATGGCTTCATTGGTTTTCTGGGGATCGTCCCAGTATCCTAGCATCACACAGCTGCCTCTGACCAGCAGCTCTCCTGAGGCCCCCACAGGGACTATTTCCCCGGTATTAGGGTCCACCACTTTAGCCTATAGTTAGGACACGCAGGTATATGTTGCAGTGATATCATGGTGATATATTGAAGGTTTGTGCAATCAAAAATGAGTACCTCTGTGTGGCTCATTATGCATCCAACAGTATCTGTCTTCAGCTCCTCATTGTCATGTGGGAATCCCAAAAATGTAAGTGGGCTATTCTCTGTAGTTCCATATCCTAGCTAATAAAACATAATGTACATGTGTTTTTTACATGCTGGACAAGCTATGCTCTTGTTAATATATACAGAAATATTTGCAAGTAACTGCTCACCACTATCTCTTTCATGTTCATGTCTGTTCTCAGTTTTCTCACAATCTCAGAAGCACATGGAGAACCTCCCATCAGACCTAAAACACAGCAGCAGCTCATTAAAGCATCTCACCAAGTTTAACACATCATCTATGTTAAAGTCCTCAAATCTCTTACCAGCTTCAACTGTTGACAAATCGTACTTGTGTAAATCTCTTTGGCTCAGCATGTCAGTGAACATTGTGGGAGTGCCATAGACGAAATTGCACCTTGAGTGGAAAAACATGAACGGCAATTATTAACAGATTGTAATGCTGTGTATTTAAAAGTCATGTGTTGATGAGCTGCTTGACATACTTTTCGCTCTGTATGGCAGCCAGGTTGGCTTGACTGTTGTACCCAGCTGAAGGAAAGACCAGAGTGACACCATGCACCGCCATACACATCCCCCCCGCCACAGAGCCGAAGCAGTGGTACATGGGTACAGGCACACATACTCGTACCTGAGGCTGATGGACAGATGGATTGTTAAGATTACTATACCTTTCAATGTTTGTGAAGTCAAAAAATCAAGTGACAATTATGGACTTACCCTCCATCCATAACCCACTCTGAGGCCAAGAAAGTAGGCATTGTTGACAATATTGTGATGGGAAAGAACTGCTGCCTTTGGACTGCCAGTAGTCCCCTGGAAATAAACATCACTTCAGAATCATTGTTAGACCGTTGATGCATTATACTGTCAATTCAAAATGAAACAGTATGTGCACAGCTTACTGATGTGAACTGAATGTTGATGGGGTCATCGAAGGACAGCTTGCTCTGCAGATCCATAAGCTCGCTGTGGTGCCGACTTTCCCCCGCTTGCATGACGTCTTCTACGTGGAGCATCCCTGGCTGTCTGCTGTCTGTCACAATCACCATACGCAAGTCTGGAACCCTGGCAGACCCAAGACAAATATCTTTGTATTGCAACCACAAAACCTGAGTCCTGTAAAGTACTTACAATCGTAATTTAGTGACGTGATCTGTTGGGACTTGGTTTGAGAATTAATGTCTGAAAGTTTAATGTTTTGCCTGGAGAACTGGACTGAAATGGTCAATTGGTTTCTGAGTAATGTAAAACGTTTTACCAGCAGCTATGCATGCCAACTCAACAGTCATTACTGTGCAGTGTAATTGTTGCTAAAATGTATCTCCAACTGGAATGCATTGATATCAAAATTCACAATATAACAGTTAGTTTATTCTGCAAAATTCAAGGTAATCTCTACACTAGACCTACTGGTTTGCTGACGGCAAAGTGAAGCGCTGATATTGTATTAAAAAACATCGTCAGTGATTTTAGTTTTTTTTTATATTAGCTGAATTATGTGGTACAAATTGCTCTGTCTGCAGTGATGTATAGCCTAGCTTACATGCCAACACTCCAGCCTGTTTCTAAATAAAGTTGCCAATGGACCGCCATCTCCTGGTAAATACATTTACTATTGACATAGCCCCTCTTCAAAAGTTATTCCTTTAATTTAGGACTAACTGGTTTCCAGAGCCCCTTTTATTTTATCTGCACCTCATTAATTATATTACATTCATTCCCTTATTTACTTAAATCATCTTTTCATGCCTTTATAAACATGTCAGACATTTCAACCATTTTTTCCCAGTTCCAATCCCTGACACTCTTCTCTCTAATTGTATCTTAAAGGAGGGCTCAGCCCTAACAATCCCCCCCATCATACACCTGATTCATCCAATCCTTCCAAACTCCTGTAAACCCATTGCATTAACTACATTTCCCACTGTACAACAGCTTTGTCTTGTTAATGAAATGACAATAGAGGAACAACGTGTATTAAACATTCAACATTTGCTCTGTCAAACCTGGAGCTTTTGAGCATGCCTCCTGGTGTCGTGTCGATCTCGGGGCAGATCTCCCTCAGCAGCTCACAGAGCTGTTGTGCCCTAAAGCGGGTAGGGCAGACCACAGCTTTACACTGGACCTGCATTGAACAAATCAGTTCTGTGTGTGAAGATGATTTTTATCAGGAAAAAGGGTTGACCATTGTAAATAAGTGGTGCTACCCTGTTAAAGAACATTTAC